CAATTTACCAAGGCAGTGCCAGGGAATCATTCATTTTGTTCTACTTGGCTGCCTATGTTTTTTATTCTTTCTTTTTTGTTGCTTTAAACTGCCTCCTCCCCACAGCTAGTATATAAACTGCAGTTAATTAAGCCCAATTTGTTTCATGAACAGATACACAGATAATCTCTTCCTGATTTATGGCAGAAGAATAGCGGTCCTTCTATGGGGAACTATCATTTGCTTTGAAAAATCCTGTACCTCTGAAAGTATATAGACTAAGCATTTGTGTTATAGTTTAATGTAACCAAGACATTTCGCTAATAAACCAAAACAACAACAACAAAACTCACTACCAATGAACTGACTGTGGCCCATAGTGACCCTATAGGACAGGGTCAAACTGTGTCTGTAAGTTTCTCAACTTCACAAGAGTCGAAAGTCTCATCAGTCTCCTGCGAAGCTGGTGGTTTTGAACTGCTGATCTTGTGATGAGCTGTCCAATGCATAACCATTACATCCCCAGGGCTCCCTTAATGATATAAATCATATTAAATTATATAATGTATCCTATTGCGTAACTATATTCATATTAACCTTGAATTTAAAAACATTTGTATGGGATCTATTATTTCTACATTTTATTAATGCAGCTGGAATTGAGTCTTAAAGTCATGGCATAAAAACACTTTGTGTTCGTATGTGTGAATTAGTTCAACCAGGAGCTTATCTAATGTAGCATGTGCGGTTTTATGTAAGAGCTTCTTTAGATCGATACTGTTGTTTTCCTTATGTGCTACCCACTACATAGTTGAATTACCTGCTATGATTTGGTATTGGAGATACTTTGTAACCCTCGCTAAATAAGGGCAGTCACATTGAGAGTACTCTAATGAGGGCAGTGGTCAGCTTTGTCATTCTGTCAGTCGTAATGTGTGCCATCTCAATAGCAAGAAGAGGAATTCCCAGGACCATCATGAGGAAAACACAACAACCCCAAAACAAAAACAAGAGCTGAGTGTGTGTGTGAGCTTTATGAGTGGAGGGTGGCAGAGTAGCAGCAATAAGATCATGAGACAAAGCAGCCAGCTTTCTAGCCAATGGAACAGATAAAGCTGTGTTGCTACAACAGGAGACTGACTTGCAAAACGGGGTGCCCTCTGAGCATTTACCAGTGCTAGGGGACTTTGTAGCCAGGGAACAATGTAGCTGAGAGGTCGATGGCCAGACAGAAGTACTTTGCTGTGAAGACATTTCAGGCAAAAAATTCTTAATTTTTCTTATCTTGACTTGTAACCTGTTGTCTTCCCTAATGAAAACAGACTCACGGCCATCAATGCTGACTCATAGTTCCTCCCTGGGGATTTCTGAGGCTGTAAATATTTATGGGAATGGAAAGCCCAGGCTTTCTAACATGGAGCTACTGGTGGTTTTGTGCTGCTGATCAAGGGGATCATAATGGTACCAGGGCTCCTGCATAAACCCCTATAATTGTGCATTTGACATGACCACTGCGCTGGAATCTCAAACTCATCAGACAAGTAGGGTGCCCTGGGTAGGTGTCACCTGTTGTTGACAGTGAAACATAAAGAAAGTTGGGGGATGGTGGTATCTGTGAGCTCTACCTTGTGGGATGTCACCTTGGGATAGGGTGGGATTGGCTTCCCCTCTCTACTGAGGTTGGATTAGCCCTGTTGGGGTGCCTACATGATTCCCACAGCAAAATAAGTAAATTTATCCTTTAAAAATAAAATTAAGTGTTTATAATATAAAAGTTTAGTCCATGAGTAATTAGATTAATTTCACTAAAATTATAGAAAATTTGGCTATGTTCTTGAAGAGTTGATAGCTTCAATTTATACCTTTAATTTGTGAAAAGTAGCTGTTAGAAGACATAACACTTTCCTGAACACTGTTTTTTAATTAGTTATAAATACAATA